CCAGAGGAGCTGGAGGAAAAAAAAAAAACAGACTGATTCAACTGGTTTGCTCTGGGACTCAGGTTTTGCCTTATTTCCTTTTCTCAGCTCCCAAGGTGAGTCTGATGCAAATGGTCAGGGGACCTCAGATGGATGGGTATTGGCCAAGCACCTCTGTCATCCTTGGCTGGGCCTCTGCAGACACAAGAAGAGTTGTTCAAGGGACAGCCACAGGGCTGGAGTAACTGCCTTCTGGCTATCAGGAGGCTCTCCTGGGCTTTACACTACATATATCTATCTTCACTTCTCTCTTAAAAACAACTTTCAAAGGGACATTGTTTCTTGCAAAAAGATGTTTCCTTGAGGGAAACACAGAAGTCAGCTGTTCTCTGGAGCTGTCTGGTGTCTGTGGGTGATGAATGACTCCACACATCCACGCAACACAACCATAACTCTCCCAGGATGCAGATGTGAAATCTACTGAGCAACTCCCTTTCTCTTTTTAGAAAATGGTCCCAGGAAGCCAATCTTTCTTTCAGGTCCAGGAAGATGCGAATGCCTGGAAGGGTTTGGGTGAGCCACTTTGGTGGGGATCTGGGTCCATGAGGGGAAGTGTAAAGCTCTGTTCGCTCAGTGCGGGAGGAGGAAGGTTCCGTCGCTGCTTCCCGGTTCTGACATGTTCCTGCTGTACTGCATTCTGTATTTGACAACTGACTGTTTATTGATTGTGCATTCACCGTATGCCCATCTCTGCTACACGTGGGTTGCAGGAGCCATCAGGAGCCTGAAGTCTTGCCACTGCCTGGGGGGAGGCAGGTACCATAGTCTGTAACTAGATTATTTATTGGTTAGCTTTGTTCCTAGACGCTATGGAGAAACTTTAAAAAAAAAAAAAAGTATTAATCAGGGAGGACTACCATCTACGATGAATAAACTACAAATGTTAGTGGAATATAAAAAAGGTTTATTTCTTCCTCACATCACAATCCAATGTGGATCAAAGGAAGGCTTTTTCCAAACAGTCATTGTTGTTCACTTCCCTTTTACCCAACAGCTTCCATCATCCCCGTGGGCCTTGGGGTCTCTGCCCAGCCATGAGGCAAGATCAAGAGCATAGAAGGTCAAGTAGGGCAACCTAGATTCCATCACAGCCAACACCCCAGGGGTGGGAGATCCCATGCCATGCCCACTCGCCTGCTCAGGGCAGGGGAAGGAGAGAGATGTACACCAGCCAAGCACCACAGGAAAAGGAGACAGACCTGGTGCACACATGTGTGCAGCATTCTCACTGCCATACCAGGTGCCAGGGGTGGTGAGGTACAGGGCTGGAGAGGTGCTCTTTAATTTTGGCCTGACATCGGTGGTCAGGGAAGCCCCCTCCAGGGGAAATGACATTTCAGATACAGTTGGATAGTGGACAAAGATCCAGGCATGGGCAGATCCAAGAAAAGAGGGCTATAGACAGAGGGATGGTGTGTGCAAGCTCCTGAAGTAGCATGAGCTGGGTGTGCTGGGAGACTCAAGGAGAAGCTGGCTGAAGCAGCTGAAGTCAGAGGTGAGAAAGAGGTAAAGGAAGAGTTTCATGATTCGTATTGCAGAATGGTGAGACAAGCTTTATTCCAGATGATGGAGATAGGTACGGGATTACTGTAATGAGTGTTTGCAGTATGAAAGAGACTGGGCTCAACTCAGAATACAATAAAGACAAGTGGAAATTTATAGGAGAGGTGTAGCAGGACAAGTCGCAGACAACACCCCTCAGACAAGAAGTTAAAGAAGGAAGGGCTTTATTTGGCTGGGAGCTTTGGCAAGACTCACGTCTCCAACAACCGAGCTTCCCGAGTGAGCAATTCCTGTCCCTTTTAAGGGCTTACAACTCTAAGGGGGTCAACGTGAGAGGGTCACGATCAATTGAGCAAGCAGCGGGTACATGACTGGGGGCTGCATGCACTGGTAATCAGAACCGAACAGAACAGGACCCCATTTTCACAATGCTTTTCCATACAATGTCTGGAATCTATAGATAGCATAACCGGTTAGGTCGGGGGTCCATCTTTAACCAGGCCCAGGGTGTGGCACTGGGCTGTCTGCCTGTGGATTTCGTTTCTGTCTTTTATTTTTTACTTCTTTCTTTGGGGGCAGAAATTGGGCATAAGACAATATGAGGGGTGGTCTCCTCCCTTAAAGGGAGCAGCGTGAAGGTCTGGGAAAGGAAAATTACAAAATGGAAACCTCAGGGGTAAGGGAAAGGGCAGGGGCAGAGGTGGTTTCTGGCTAAACTGACCTGAAAAGATTCTTGCTGAAGGCAGGCCAGGGTGATCAGACATCACCGGAGGATGGTGGCAGAGGAGGGCCCTGATTGGATGAGATATGGAGGCTGATCAGGCATGGAGAATGGGAGATTCTGGCTAAACTGACTTAGCAGGAGTCTTGCAAAAATTGGACAATGCAGAAATGAATGTGGAATCTCACAAGGTGGGCCTCGCAGAGAAAAGAGTTCAGGACAGCCTGACTACAATTTGGTCCAGGAGAGAAGAGGCTGGAAAGGGATGAGGTCAGAGAACAGGATGGGGCAGGTTGTGCTGAGCTCTGGGGGCCACACAGGGCACCTGGTCTGTATGACATGGGCAACGAGTGATATGAACTGATGCACCGTGTTAGGATCATGCTTTAAAATTGCATTTTCAAAACTCTGCACTGATGACACAGATAGGTACTCTGGGAGATTGAAGGATAAAAGACAATTCCTTCCCTAAAGAACAAACAACAAAAAAGTAATCAGATCCTGCCTATTCGTATTTAAATGTCATGGTGAGTGAGACAGAAAACACGTATGTTAACAATTCAGTGAGCCTGACGTGGCCTGGAGTAGTCAGAGAGAAAAGCAGGGAAATTGGATCTGAAAGGACGATGAGCATTTGGGAAGCAAAGGGGAGGTGAGAGGGAGAAGGGGCTCCAGGCAGGGTCTGCACCAGCAGATACAGAAGGAGCATGAAGCGTATTCGGGGAATCTGGGAGAGTCTCAGGCTGGAACGCTCGCCTCCAGTGAGACAGGAAACCCCGCAGCTCCCCAGGAAGATGTCAGTATCATGACTGCACTCCTTGAGGCCAATTTCCTAAAATGAAATTATATCGAACCCTGAATTAGACAGTGGAGTTGTTTTCCTCGATCACGAGGGCCAGAGCAGATCCCCAATAATTCTGAGCTCATTTGCTCTTTCCGGGCCAGCTGGTCTTTAATGGGTGACCTTATTAATTTAACTCGATTCATGAGAGAGTACAAATTGCTGCTCTAAAGGGCTGGAAAACGTGTTGGTTTCTCTGCCAGGGATCTCAGTGGGGATGTAATTGTGCTGGGTCAGGAAGGTGTCAGTGCCCCAGAGCTGCTATCCAGCCACAAGGATGGGCTGGGACCGGGGACAGGTGCCGGCTGGATTCTGTTCCTCCCAGCTCATTATTTCAAGGAGATAAGCTCTGTCTCATTAACACTTCCCATATGCACTGGTCCTAGGCAAATTCCAGAGAACTGTGTTGCCACTGAGCCAAATTTGCATTAATTTGTACATTACACCTTACAAAAGAGTTGGGCATGCTGATACAATTAACAACTCTATTTCATATTTTGGTAAGATAAGTGAATTCAGAGTGAAAGAACTAATGTTTAAGAAAATAAAAGGCCAGGCACCGTGGCTCATGCCTGTAATCCCAGCACTTTGTGAGGTCAAGGCAGGTGAATCATTTGAGGTCCGGAGTTCGAGAGTAGCCTGGTCAACATAGTGAAACCCCATTTCTACTAAAAATACAAAAATTAGCCAGGCGTGGTAGTGTGCTCTTGTAATCCCAGCTACTTGGGAGGCTGAGGCACAAGAATCGCTTGAACCCGAGATGCGGAGGTTGCAGTGAGCTGAGATTGCACCACTGCACTCCAGCCTGGGTGACAGAGCGAGACTCTGTCTCAAAGAACAAAACAAAACAAAAAAAAAAAAAACAGGAAAATATTAAAGCCAAAACAAGATGTAGAAATGCTTATCATATCATGGTCCTCTATAATACTTAGATGAAATTCAGAAATTTATCCTGAATTTCTCGGCAGCCAAAGGAAGAAGGGAAATATCCTTAAATCAAAGCAAACCAGTCACTAAAAAGCATGCAGCTTCTGCTCCTAAGACCTGAAAGAAACTTCTCACACAAGTGCTAATAAAGAGAATTTGATTTGAAAAAAGAAATTTAAAATAAAATTGTTTCTAATGCTCCCCGATGCAGGCTAATAGCAAGAAACTACAATACGATTTAGGAAAATAAAGTTTATGAAGAATGAAAAAATCTGCAGTGGTTTTGCATAATCTGAGGGTAAATTTTTAAACATAGAATACTGAGTGGGCTGAATGACCCCAGGCAATCTTTCATAAAACAAGCCCAAATAAGAGTGTTGAGTGCTGAGAAAAGACAACTGCTGTGTTTTCATTCAGCAAACACCTGGTCCATAACTCAGTTGTTCAATATGGGGTCTTATGCCTGGCGCTAGAAATAGATGAATGAATAGCTATGACTTCTGTCCTCAAAACACTTATAGTCTATTCAGGAGACAGATGTATGGACAGATTATTGCAATTGCAACATGCTGTGCCTTGTGGGGGAAGAGAAGGGAAAAATAAACCTCATCATTAGCTGAGCTGCTGCTGACTCATGACTTCGGGAGCAATTGCTATGAGAGGTCTTCTAACATTATTTTTCTCTTGCAATGGGAATTTTGACCTGCTACAGTAGAGGTTTCTTACCTCCAAGTCACTGATTGATTTGAATTGTATTCTCTTTTCTCCTTTTACTTTGTCCCTGTTTTGCAAGAGCAACAGGTAAAATGGGAAATAAAGAAAAATGCACTTTAGTTTTGAAAAATCATAATCAAGGCAAGTTAATTAAAACTGACAAAAGATTTCTGGAGAAAAACAAGGGCCCAGTCTTTTTGATATTTGGAGCTACCATGATGATTAAAATAACGCTCGGTCTGTTTGTGTTGGCAGGCCAGTACCAGAGGATTAACAAGCCTCTCCTAGACTGGGTAAGTCAGTTGCTTCCCTTATCTATTTTATGTCTTTAATATTTGCAAAGTAGGTGAATTTTATTCAAGATACTTGGTAAAATTTTTAAAAATCAACAGCAACAGGATGAGTGCAGTAGTTCACACTGTAATCCCAGCACTTTGGGAGGTCAAGGCGAGCAGATCTCCTGAGGTCAAGAGTTCGAGACCAACCTGGCTAACATGGGGAAACCCCGATTCTACTAAAAATACAAAAAATTAGCTGGGCATGGTGGTGTGAGCCTATAATCCCAGCTACTCGGGAGGTGGAGGCAGGAGAATTGCTTGAACCCAGAAGGCAGAGGTTGCAGTTAGCTGAGGTAATGCCATTGCACTTCAGCCTGGGCAACAGGAGTAAAACTTCATCTCAGAAAAAAAACAATCAACAGCAACAACAACAACAACAAATGCTTTTGTAAGTGGCATACTTTCCTGGCAAGAAAAACTGCATTTTAATTCTTGGGTATAAAACTGTAGCAGAACAGCCACAGACAAGAACCCCTCAGACACTGAGTTGTAGAAGGAAAGGGCTTTATTTAGCTGGGAGCATCAGCAGACTCACGTCTCCAAAAAACTGAGCTCCCTGAGTGAGCAATTCCTGCCCTTTTAAGGGCTTACAACTCTAAGGAAGTCTGTGTGAAAGGGTCATGATTGATTGAGCAAGCAGGGGGTTCGTGACTGGGGGCTGCATGCACCAGTAATCAGAATGGAACAGAACAGGACAGGGATTTTCATGATGCTTTTCCATACAATGTCTGGAATCTACAGATAACACAAGCAGTCAGGTCAGGGGTTGATTTTTAACTACCAGGCCCAGGGTGCAGTGCCGGGCTATCTGCCTGTGGATTCCATTTCTGCCTTTTAGTTTTTACTTCTTTCTTTGAAGGCAGAAATCGGGCATAAGATAATATGAGGGGTGGTCTCCTTCCTTAAAACTATATTCCAATTCCTCAGCTATAAAATGGAAATAAAAATTAATCAACATGGTCATTGTGAAGGCCGAATAAAGTGAAAATACCAACACACTGTGCTGGCAGGTGCATTATAAGAAGTGCACTTCCTAACACTCATAGTAAAATTTTAAATTGAAATAAACTTTCTTGAGAGCAATTTCATAATATTAAGTAAGCAACATTAAAATACTCACTTTTTGGCCCCATAATTCAGTACTTAGGAGTTTAAAAAGCTAATCTAAAATAGGTATTGATACTTAAACACATTCACATATTTTATAATAATATATTTTAAATGGCAGCACGTTTGAATTATGCTAAGTATTCAGTAATACAAAAGTAACTGCATCTTGATACATCTATTTTATGAAATCATTTGCAATATTTACAAATAATTTTAACAACTAGAGAAAAAGATTAAAAGTTATAACATTAATTCAATATATTTTATTACAAGTAACTGCATAGGTATATAATTTAAAGTTATAACTTGCATATCTATAGATTAGATGGACAGATATATGACTGATTGATTGATGATTGATTGATTCTGCTCATGAAGTCATTGACTCTTTACTGTTTGAAGTAGCTCTTTAAGAATCTAACGAAAGCTATGGACCCTTACCCAGAAACACACATACACATACACACACATGCACACACAAAAATTGTAAAAATCAAAAGATTCATGGGTAAAGAATATTGAACTTCTAGTTAAAAATCCTTGAAATTGATAGAAAATAGATAATACATTGATAGATAAATAGATATAACTCTATATTTAAAACAAATATCTCTTTCTCTCTCTTTCTCTCTCTCTCTAAAGAAGTACACCAAAATACTTACATTTACTCATGGGTGCAAAAGTATCTTCTGACCTGGAGTGATGGTTGTTCTTCCCAGCATTCTTATCAAGTCCTGACTCTATGAAGTCTAGCAAGGTATTGGGTGGAAAGTTGGAAAATGGGTTCGGGCTCACATCCCAGTTCTTCCAGCAGGTCCAAGACTTTCCCCCAAGAAGCTAAGCCCTAGAGAGCCTTGGTAATTGCCGTTAACAGTATGTAAATGGCACTTTTGCACACATACCCATCTGTGAAATCCCCAAAGGAGTCTCCTGCCTGAGCTCCGGCTCAGAGCTCACTGGGTGTACAGTTCCAGAACCGAGACACCGTCTCTCCCTTTGCTGTGTCGACAGTGAAACTTCCTGGAGTTCACATACTAGCAACTTTGCTTTGCTTTGTCCTGGGTACTGGGCTCTACCTATGACTCAGCACACATCAACTAGAGAAAAAAGATCCAACAGGTACTGAGTTCCTGCTGTGGGATAGATGCCAAAGTAGAGCGTTGAGATACATTTTCTCAACTAACAACAACGAGATAAGGTGGGTTTAGTCATCTCCAGTTACAGATTGAACATATCAGTCAGGGAGCTTAAGTAACCTTCCCAAGAATGCGAGATCAAGAGTCGTGTCCCTGCTTACACATAACATGATGCCGGCTGCAGAATTTAATGTGGAGGAGCACATTCCGGAATTCCTATGATGACCATTGCATGCGAGTGCATCTGTTACGGATTTGGTGTCCGTTCCTGTCAGTCTAGTGTTCAGACCCAGAGCCTTTGGTGAGTGCCTGTGTTAGTCTTCCAGTGTTGCCATAACAAAATGCCATAAACTGGATGGCTCAAACAACAGAGATTTATTTTCTCATGACTCTGAAGACCAGAAGTCCAAGATCAAAGTGCCAGTAGGGTTGGCGAGAACTATCCCTTTGTGTTGCAAATGACTCCCTGTGTGCTCACATGGCCTTTCCTTAGTGTGTGCATTTGGGCACGGGTGAGGAGAGAGAGGGAGAAACCCAGAGAGAGAGAGAGAGAGAGAGAGAGAGAGAGAGAGAGAGAACTCTCTGCTATCTCTTCCTATAAAAACACGAATCCTTTTAGATGAGAACCCCACCCTTATGACCTTATTTAACCTGAATTACGCTTTTAGAGGTACCATCTTCAAATACAGCCGCACTGATGGTTAGGGCTTCAACACACGAACTTGTGTGAGCAGTAGGGGGTGGGATGGGGGTAGAGAAACATTTAGTCTATAACAATAGCCAAAGCAAAACCTAAGGTTAGAGAGGAGTCGTTGAGACCATCTTTTATGGCAACTGTTCTTATTAACAGTACAAATATGTAGAAATCCCATTTTACAGATGAAAAAACTAAGCTTCAAGGCAAAGGCATATCTCCAATCTAGCAAAGTGAAGACTTTAGGCAAAGTCTTCATGTCCAAAGTCCAATGACACTTACTCCACCTCAAATGTTGTGCAATACCAGTGGTCTATAACCTGGTCTCCTGGCTCCATTTCAGGAATGGAAAAATGACCAAAAATGAAAAAAAAAAAAAAAAATGATAGTCTTAGCCAATTTACTTGGGGAGTAGGGCAGCTGGGGGGATATGAACCCATAGAATTTTCTCAAGTACGCATTTTACCTAATTCTCACACCTAAACCTTATTGAATGAACTAGAATTTCAAAAATGATGGTGTCAGCTTTAGCACAAAATTTCACCTTGCAGTTGCTTTTACTGCGATAGTGTCACATTTTAGGACAATATACAGAGTGGTGTCACTTCTTGAAGCCCCACCCTTAACAGTAAAGACCCAAATAATTGCATTTGTTTTCCATTGCTGCCATGGCACATCCCCACAGATTTGGGAGCTTGACCATTTATTATCACACAGTGGATGCAATCAGAAGTCCGAGCACAGTATGGCTCAACTAGATCCCCTGTTCTGAGTCTCACAAGACTGAAAGGAACATGCTGGCAGGGTTGCACTCTCCTCCAGGGGCTCTGAGGAGGAACTTGCTTCCAGATTCTTTTAGGTTGTTTCATAGAATCCAGTTCCTATCTATTGTCGGACTGTGGTCCTCATGTCTCTGCTGGCTGGCTGCTGTCAAATCCTTCTACTCTTGGACTCTCTGTAAGTCATCCTTCTGCCAGATCTCTCTTTCTTTCTCTTCTACTTCCTTTCTCTGACTTCCTCTTCTGCTTTTTAAAACAGGGGTTTTTTGAGATAAAATCTACATGTCATTCAGTTTACCCATTTTATGAGTATAATTCAATGGTTTTTTAGTATATTCGCAGAGTTGTATAACCATCACTCCAATCAATACATTTTTATCATCTCAAAATGAAACCCAGTTCCCTCTTCCCCCAGATGCTGGCAAATATTAATCTACTCTTTATCTATAGATCCTCCTGTTCTGGGCATTTCATATAAACAGAATCATGCAACATTCCACTTTGTATATGACTACCTTCTTTCATTTAGCATAATATTATCAAGGCTCAACCATGTTATAGCATACATCAATACTTTATTACTTTTCATTGCTGAATAATATTCCATTGTATGACTATACAACACTTTATTTACCTGTGCAGTAGTTCATGGATATTTGGGTTATTTCCACTTTTTTTACTATTAAAAATAATACTGCTATAAACGTGTACTACTTTTTGCATGAATGTAGAATTGCTGGATTATAGGGTAGCTCTGTGTTTAACCTTTTGAGGAACTGCCAAAGTGTTTTCTGCAGTAGCTGTACCCTGTTACATTCCCATCAGCAATGCATGAGAGTCTCAAATCCTCCACATTCTTGTCAGCCCTGATTATTATCTGTCTTTTTTTAAATCATCTTGGTGGTGTATGGCTGACATCTCATTGTGCTTTTGATTTGCATTTTCTTAACAGCATCTCTCCATGGGATTATTGATGATTTGTATATCTTCTTTGAAGAAACATCCATTCAGATCCTTTTCCCACTTTAAAATTTGGTTATTTATCTTTAAATCATTTCATTGCAAGAGTTTTTCATATATTCTGGATTTAAGCTGCTTATCAGATACATGATTTGCAAATATTTTCTTCATTCCACAGTTGCCTTTTTATTTTTTGTGGTCTTTTGAAGCACACAGATTTTCATTTTAATTAAATCCAATTTATCTATTTCTTTTATTGCTTGTATTTTTTGTTCTATCTAAAAAACCATTGCCTAAGCCAAGAAATGAAGATTTACTCCAATATTTAAGAGTTTTATAGTTTTAACTGTTACATTTATATTCATGGCCCATTTGCATTTTATTTTTGCATATGATATAGAAAAGAGGTTCAACTTCACTATGATGCATGTGGATATCCAGTTGTCTCAGGACTATCTGTTGAAAGACTATTCTTTCTACCCATTGAATTGTCTTAGCACACTTCTTAAAAATCAATTAACCCTAAGTGTAAAGGTTTATTTCTGGACTCTCAATCATATTCCAATTATCTGCATGTCTATGTTACTACCAATACCACATTGTCTCAATTACTGCATCTATGTACTAACTTTTGAAATAAGTGTTAGTCCTCCAACTTTATCTTTTTTTTTTTTAACCCAAGATTGTTTTGGCTATTATTGGTTCTTCTTATTTTCATAAGAATTTTAGGATTATCTTGTCAATTTCTGCAAAATAAATCAGTATATTAATTTGCAAAGTATTTCTATTTTAACAAGTCTTCCAATCCATGGTCATTGGTCATCTTTCCATTTATCTAGGTCTTCTGAAATTACTATCAACAGTGTTTTGCAGTTTCCAGAGTACAAGTTTTGCACTTGTTTTGTTAAATTTATTTCCATATATTTTATTCTCCTTGATGCTATGCTAATATAACTGTTTCCTTTTTAAAAACATTTTCGTACAGATGAGGTCTCACTCTGTTGCCCAGGCTGTTCTCAAACTCCTAGCCTCAAGCAATCCTCCTACCTCAGCCTCCCAAAGCGCTGGGATTACAAGCATGAGCCACTGCACCTAGCCCATTTTCTTAATTTCTATTTTCAGTTTATTACTAATTTATAGAAATATAAATTGTCATTACTAGCATATAGAAATACAACTGAATTTGGTATATTAATCATGTATCCTGACACCTTGAGGAATCATTTATTAGTTCTAATAATTTTTTTAGTGAATTATTTAAATACAAGATTATCTTATTTGCAAATAGGTCCTCTTTCTGCTTCTAAGGGTTCATGTGATTACACTGGGCCCACCCAGGTAATCCAGGATAATCCTCCCATTTTAAGGTCAGCTGATTAGTGACCTTCATCACATCTGCACTATCCCTTCACAGCAGCACCTAGATTAGTGTTGATTGAGTAATCAGAGATGGGAATATTGGGAGATATCTTTAGAATTCTCACTAGCACAAGAATTAAACTTCTATTTAAGATCCCAGAACCTAGACTCTTAAATATTTTACTTGCAGCTAAGAAAGTCTATCCCACTTCTCTAGCCAGCACTGTAGCCTGTCTTTGTCAACATTGTGTCTTCCTTTGAATCACTGGAATGTTACCACCTGCTTAGGAAAGAAACTTTGCTGCAGTCCTGGATGGAGCAAAAGGCCACAAAGATGATGACTATGATGACCCTGAGCTTCGGATGGAAGAGACGCGGCAGTCAATTAAAATTTTACCAGCCCGGCCTATAAAGGAATCTGAATATGCAGGTAACGTTTAGGGGTCTGCCTAGAATAAGAAGATGCATATACACGCCGCCATATTGCACACTATTTAAAGGTGCGGTTTCTGAATTAAACAACCCTAGGTTAATATCTGCCCGCATGACTTACTAGCTGTGTGACCTTGAGAAAGTCTCTCCAATTCACTTTCTCTTTCTGAAAACAGGGTACATAATAATAGAAGTTGCCCCAGAGAGCTCTTTTGAAGATTACATGAATGATGCATGTTGAGTTCTCACCAGAGGACCTGGTACCAAGCCAGAGATCTGTAATCCTCACCATTATTATCATGATGTTCTCCGTGAACCCTAGGAACAACTGATGAGCATAACGGAGGGTGGGTAGGCAGGGATGCGGCAGCATGGGAAATGTTAAATGAGGTCTGCATAGAGGGGAGTAGAATGAAAACAAAAGACTTTTTAACTTGGTTAATTCATTGTGCAGCCAGCCAGCCAGCCTAAGAGCATCAGCAGGGCATGGCAGCAAAGCTGCAATTGTTAAGAATAAAGAGGACCTAATTTCACACCCGCCTCTGTCTCTAACTGTAGCACAAAGGGCAGCTTCAGCAAGTTCCTTGAGATAAAGCACCCTATTGTAAGGGGGAAGAGGAAGCATTCACGATTTCTGAGGGCCTGAACCACTAAAATGAATCTATAGAAGTGTATTTGGAGAAAGTCATCTTGTAAATGATGATGACTTTTTTTGTTCAGTCATTCGATAAGCATTCACTGAGCATCTACTATGTGCCAGTTTCCATGTTAGGATTGATCGGAGGACACAGAGACAAACAATGCATGATCCTTACCTCAGGAAGGTGCAGTCTCATGGCAGAAACAGGTAGCTCAACCGATGAATGTGATAGAATATGTTAAGTGTGTAATATAGAAAGGAGAGCTGGCATGGGGTGTGGCTGGGTGGGATCTAGTAAGATTTTTAAAGGGCATGCCATAGCTCAAATCTTGCAAGAATTATAGAATTTCTAAGATGAATGAGAAAATGAAGAACGTTCAAGTTCAAACTTTGGCATTTATTTGTGTGCACTGAGAAGAGCAATTTCTTCTCTTCATACATCAGTCTCCTACTCTGTTAAATGAAAGCAGAATTGCTTGCCTCGTACTTACATTGTAATGATCCAGTGAGTTTGTAGATGTGCAAATACTTTGGAAATTGTAGTGTGCTGAGTCCACGTAAGGTATGACTTTCATATTTTTCTGGTTGCACAGATACACGCTATTTGAAGGTTGCAATGGACACTCCCCTTCCGTTAGACACCAGGACCTCTATCCCTATTGGACAGCAGACCTGGAACACACAGACGAGGTTGGAAAGAGTGAGTAAAGGCTGGACCTTGTGACCCAAACATGTGTAGGGCTCTTCCTAACCAGCCAGAAACTGCCGCATCTCCTGTCCCCCAGGCCATCTCATTAGGGAAAGAGCAGGTCGAGCTTATTGAGGTGGATGGGAGGTGACTCTTATGCCTGGTAGCATCATGGCGCTGCCTCTAGAAAGGAGTAGAATTCAGATGTGTTGAAGATTGTGAGCCAGAGAGCAGGCTAAGGACTTTCACATGCATCTCCTCTAACGTTCATCGCACTCTCCAGAGAAAGAACATGAACTCAAATCTTTCTGATCATAATGTAAGATTTTGCCCAGCGTCTCAGCCCAACGTGGTTGAGGTAATAAGTCAATCATGAGTGGGGAGGTAATAAGTAAGTCATGAAACCTCTCTAAGCCTCCTTGTAACTTTATCTGCCAAACAGGAAAAAACAGAAAATCCTACAATGCTTATTTCAAAATACTGTTTGGAAGCTACAAAAGATAATTTTGTACCACTGCACTCCAGCTTGGGTGCCAGAGTGAGACTCTGTCTCAAAAAAAAAAAAAAAGAAAAGAAAAAAGAAAAGAAAAGAAAAAAACTAGTAAATGCAAATGCCCTAAGTGCATACATAGAATTTTATTTTTAATAAAACATTTGCTAACACTTAATTTTCTTAAACCAGAAAGGCATAAAATACAAATGATCACCCCCTGGGATTGCAATTATCAGTCATAACATTTTGGTACACTTCATTATCAGTTTTTTTTTTTTTCTTTTTTGAGACAGAGTTTCGCTCTGTCACCCAGGCTGGAGTGCAGTGGCTCAATCTCGGCTCACTGCAACTTCTGCCTCCCAGGTTCAAGCAATTCTCCTGCTTCGGCCTCCTGAGTGGCTGGGATTACAGGTGCACATCACCACACCGGGCTAATTTTTGTATTTTTGTTAGAGATGGGATTTCGCCATGTTGGTCAGGCTGGTCTCGAAATCCTGACCTCGTGATGCACCTGCCTTGGCCTCCCAAAGTGCTGGGATTATGGGCGTGAGCCACCGCACCCAGCCATTGTCAGTATTTCTATGCACATATCTGTCATACAAGGGAAGTCTCATTGTTCAGTATATACCTGCTTTATTTTTCTTCTCACATTAAGTTCTGGTATAAAACAATTTCCCATGTGATAAACAAGCATTCACAGGCATAATTTTTATAGATAAAGCATAACCCGTTACGGGATTTTCAATTATTTTACTAAACCATTGAGTGAAGACATTTTAAAGACTTTGAGTATGTACTGTAAAATTTCCTTTCTAAAAAATTGTTTCCATTTACCTTCCCAGAAACTCTGTTTAGGAAGGCCCACTCCTTAGAAATATCACCAAAACTGGCTATTACTTTTTCAGTAGTATTTTTTAAAAAGGGATTTCACTATTCTTTTTTAGTTTGCACCACAGTTATTAATGAGTATTAACGTGCTTTTGAATATTCCTCACATATTACATATTCACATCGTCTGTTTAACTTGAGGGCTTCTGTTAATTTGGACAGAAAAATGAAACTACAAATTTTACCAAGCAACACCGACCATTTACACAGAAGATATCTGATAGAGACTGAAGGAACAAGATGAGTGATGAAAAATCAAACACTTCCTTTTTACACGGGCACAGCAATGATTGAAGCTAAACACTTCAATCATTCACTCAACAAATTCATTCAAGAACTGTCATCGGTGCCTGCTAGGATCAGACACAATTATAGACTCTAAAGACACATCCGTGAACGGCCAATTCCCTGTGCTCGTGAAACATACATGCTAGTGGTAGACCAGTGATAAATAAATACACAATAGATAGACAGTAGATAAGGAAGTGTGCTTCAAAAAATCATGATAATACAGGACAAGGAAGATCAAGGAAAAAAATCCTCAGTAGAGATTGGATTAAAAGAATCAAATGAAATTTAATCCTTAAAACAATCTTGCGGCGGGGTGGTGGCTCACTCCTATAATCCTAGCATTTTGGGAGGCCAACGTGGGAGGATCACAAGGTCAGGAGTTCGAGACCAGCCTGACCAACATGGTGAAATCCCGTCTCTACTAAAAATACAAAAATTAGCCAGGTGTGGTGGCAGGCGCCTGTAATCCCTGCTACTCCGGAGGCTGAGGCAAGAGAATCACTTGAACCTGGGAGGCAGAGGTTGCAGTGAACTGAGATCATGCCACTGCACTCCAGTCTGGCGACTGTGCGAGACTCCATCTCAAAAACAAAAACAAAAACAAAAAAACTTGAAAGATGAATATCACTCCCATTTTAATGGCTCCAATTTTATAAGCTCTGTGCCTTTGGGCCTGTTACTCACTCTCTCTGAGCCTTCATGGTCTTACCTATAAAATCCCATCACTGTTGTAGTAATACATAGAAAACACACTATTTCCATGTGCTTCCAGGCTGAGGTGGGAGGATCATTTGAGCCTGGGAGGTCAAGGCTGCAGTAAGCTGAGATAGCAACACTGAACTTCAGCCTGGGCAACAGAGTGAGACCCTGTCTCAAAAAATAAAAAAAGAAAGAAAGAAAAAAAGAAAAGAAATGGATCTTCAATAAGACCCAAGAAATGCATCTTTGTGCTTCCAGCCTGAAGCATAAAGCAATCTGTCCATAGAGGACATCTCTATGAGGTCAGGTGCTATTTTAGCTCCCACACCTAGCATGGTGCCTTTGTAAGAGGTTCTCAACAGATACTGGTTAAATGAATGCAAAATAACATACTTTCAATCATTTGAACTCAAGCTTTAAAAATAAATACCTGTTTAGCAGGAAAAGAGACCCATTCTTTCCCCAGTTCAACTTCTGTTCACAGAGAAGACTTTCTCAGTCTGGCCTTCAAAATTCTTCTATTTTCCTGCTACTATTTGCTGCTATCATCAAGATCTGCATCTAGGGCAGTCCCCCAGGGGCTGTCTGAGAGGGAGGACAGCATTTCAGGACACTCATCACCGGAGCAAAAAGCGTGGCCAGGGAACGAGAATTCCAGAGAGATTGGACCAGTGGCTGAAGACACAGTTCTGGTCTGGTTATAAAGTAGAGAACGCTGAACTAAAAAAGCTGAGCTGAACTTTCCCTGTAAATGACTGACAATCCCTTTTTATACAGGTAAGGCTTCATGAATAGAATTCTTTTTTTTACAAAGAATAATTCTCATTTGATTTTTTTAAAAAAACAACTATGCCAGGATTTAAGCCTTTATTCTTACATTTTCTGTTCCTTCAAATCATCTTTGTAGTTTCCTGTTAAAAATAAGTTTCTTCCTTTGGCTAGATCACTTTGCAGGTGGAACTACAATCTCAGCACATTAATTCAAATGAAATCATGTGAGGAAAAAGGATAGGGCAAGGTGAGCAAAATTTCAGAGGGGAGTTGTCTTACAAATTCAACAAGTGTTTGGCCTCAGTTCAGATGAAGAGGGCGTTTTAGCCAAGTGCAGTAGGTGATGCCCGTAATCCCAACATTTTGGGAAGCCGAGGTGGATGAATTCCTTGACCCCGGAGCTCAATAGCAGCCTGAATAACAGAGTAACATCTCATCTCTAAAAAAATGAAAAATAAAAAATAGCTGGGCGTGGTGGCACACGCCTGTAGTCCCAGCTACTCTGGGGGCTGAGATGGGAGGATCACCTGAGCCTGGGAGATCGAGGCTGCAGTGAGCCATGATTGTGCCACTTCACTCTAGCCTGGGTGACAGAACAAGACCTTGTCTCAGAAAAAAAAAAGGGGGGCGGGGGGAGGAGTTTTGCTTTTGTAATCAATGTTGTAAACATCAAATATTTATGGCAATCAGATTATCTTTTTTTGTGACAATCTCATTCCTAGGAGTTGATTCTTACTCGTTCTGCACATTTATGTTGAGATTATCTGTGAAATGGATAGCCAGGTATGATGGCTCACACTTGTAGTCGCCATGTTTTGGGAGGCCGAGGCAGGTGGATTGCTTGAGCCCAGGAGTTTAAGACTAGCCTGGATAACATGGTGAAACCCCATCTCTACAAAAAGTACAAAAATTAGTTGGGCATGGTGATGCACGCCTGTAGTCCCAGCTACTTGGGAGGCTAAAGTGGGAGGATTGCTTGAGCCCGGGAGGTCAAGGCTGTGGTGAGCTGAAATCATGCCACTGCACTCCAGCCTGGGTGACAGAGTGAGACCCTGTCTCAAAGGAAAAAAAAAAATAGAAATAAAAAAAGAAATGGATCTTCAATAATTTTTACAAAGGCAAGTTCTTGTCGAGACTGCTTCAGTGGGTTACAACTGTCTTGCCCTAAACCACTACCCATCCTTCTATTTATTGAGCAGGTACTGTGTACCGAGCACTGTGCTTAGCAATGGGGGTAGGAAGGTGAGCCAGTGTCCACAGTCTAAGGAAGGAGGCAGTGACCTAGATGGGCAGTTTCCACGTTCTAGGAAGTGGTCAGATGGAGGTAAGCGCAGGGTGCAAACACACGCAGACCTGCGTCTCTGAATGTATCCAGTGCCTTTGGAGGAGTCTTACGAAGGAAGGCATGTGATGCAGTCTTCCACACCTGGTACATGTTGCATTATGATCAGTGGTTCTCCGTGGAAAGTTTTTGTCCCCCCCGACAAGGGACTTTTGACAAAGCCTGGTGACATTTTTGGTTGTCACGACTGAGTGCTACTGACATCTAGTGGGTAGAAGACAGAGATGTTACTAAGCATCCTACAAGGCACAAGAATTTTCTGACCCCAAATCTCAATTCTCAATAGTACCCAAACTGAAAACTCTGTTACAATGTACCTGTGAATCCAAGCTGGTATTTCTCTTTGTTCCCTCATAATGTAGCATTGCCACAGACATATTAGTGGGTACTAGTAAATATTTATTTGATAGGAATTGGGAATTGCCCCAGGGGAGGGATAGGAAATATTCCTGGGCTAAGGAATCCTGTACCAATACTGCTTCTTGGGACTGCTCGGAGCAGTCCCACCTAAGGTAGCAAATCTCACCTAAAGTGGAGACAACGGGAACCTCTCCTGCCTCCATGACTAGGCTAGCAATGCAGGGTGGGGCATGAGCATTGAGAGAAGCTCCATCTGTGGGGCAGGCACACAGGGAAGACTAAAAGATCAAGGTGCACAAGAACATTGAAAAAAAAAAAAATCCAGCACCCCAGTCCCCACAAGGTAACCCTGGAGAAATTGGAAGCTGATGATGCAATGAAGAAGACAATAGCCACGATAAAGAAAAAAAAAAAAAATCCAACCAACACTCAACCCCTAACTAGATATAACCAAAAGAAGAAGGGCCATGACCTTTCCAGGCATAAATACTGTGGTTCAATGTTCCACAGAGGATAAGAGGTAACGGGGGATTCAACGAACCCCTGACCCACCTTGCCCAACTCAACCTGGTGCCAATAAAGACTAATACTAGCTGGGCGCAGTGGCTCACGCCTATAATCCCAGCACTTTGGGAGGCCGAGGCGGGAGGATCATGAGGTCAGGAGATGAAGACCATCCTGGCTAACACGGTGAAACCCCTTCTCTACTAAAAATACAAAAAACTAGCCGGGCGTGTGGTGGGCGCCTGTACTCCCAGCTGCTTGGGAGGCTGAGGTGGGAGAATGGCCTGAACCCGGGAGGCGGAGCTTGCAGTGAGCTGAGATCGCGCCACTGCACTCCAGCCTGGGCGACAGAGCGAGACTCCGTCTCAAAAAAAAAAAAAAAAAGACTAATACTAAAACCCTAATATTAATATTACCTGGGCTTAAAGGTTTTCAAAGACATAGGGAACCCTTTATGATCTTCATCTTGTTCACCCTTATGTCTTCCAGTTGAGTACCCCTTAATAGTTCACTAATGTCTTTAATAATATTAATAGTGATACATGTATTCAGTGTGGTTAGCGACACCTGTGTTCTTGGCACAGTACATGCTGTGTTATCCTCCCATCCTCAAAAGGGTATCAGTGCCTTTGTTACCTCCATTTCACAGATGAGGAAACCTCAGGAAACGGAAGCTAAGTAATTTGCCATGTTCTCACAGTGAGCACGAGCTGGAGGTGGAATCCTAACCCGGGCCTTCCCATGAGGCCATACCCTGACCTGCCTGCCTCGTTGCTTTCATGTACCTGATCCCATAGATGGATCATCATGTTAACTCAGGGACATGAATGATGAGCATTTTTCCTATGATAAAGATGAAAAATCTGAAGTTCATAATATACTCAATGTCTTTTCCAAAGCCAGCAATAGAGGCAGGATTGGTTCTCAACCCTGCGTGTTATTATACCAAACACCACTCAGGCCACCGCACCCTTCATTGGCAGAGGTGCATGTATTTATATGTGTTTGCTGACAGTCAACCATACATTGAAAACCAGAGAGCCCGGGGACTTATGGCTTTATCCTTGGGAACCTAACCACAGACAGTGTCAAGACATCAGATGGGGTCATAGTCACAACTGAAGAGATAATGGTGCCACATTGTCTTCTACAGGTGGACAAGCCCATTTCCAAGGACATCAGAAGCCAAAACATTAAAGGTAAGGTCATGTCACTCAAAGTGTAAAATGTAAGTATGGAAACATGTATTTTGCTTCTAAGATTGTCTTGCATTGCTGTTCGTGGTCATGGGTGCCCTTACACAAGGCGATCTATTGAATTACACTTCAGGAAATAACTACTAATTTTAGTAGAGTCTCACACACTTTATGTCTTTTTATTGCCTTACCTTCTTGATGAAGAAATTGATTGTAAAAATTCACATTCTTTGTTGTGCAATTTTGGAAATGAATTGTTTTGAAACATATGGATTGCATTAAATATATAATCATGTTATCTCTCCAAGCATACCCTCAGAAAAGTCACAAGATAGAAATCTAATTTTAAAACATTGATTAATTAATATGAAAACAGATTTTAAGGCCTGAGGCAAAACAACTCAATTTGAAGACGAAAATACAGGTACGAGCCTGAAAGCAAATAATCAATTTCAGTAGTGCTAGAAGCATAAATGGAAGATAAGCCAGACATTTAATGGTATTGTATCCATTATAGCTTCTCTCATCATTTTCCCCCGTGCCCCTATCTCCTTTTATGATGCTTGATTGGAAAAGATGACAATGCCAAGATTCACTTTGCCCAATAATTGAAACATATCAAATTCACCTTTCATGTGTCTAATGGTACCATCTATAACGTATTATTAGTGCCATCTTTTCTTTAATGGGAAAGTGTACCAGTTAGGGTCCCAATAGGCAATAGACAGCATACTCAAATTAGGATCATTGAAGGAAATGTATGGCAAAGAAACTACTTACCAGGTGAGTGTGGTATAGGGGGAAGAATAAAGAACGGTGCAAGAACCATGGCTGACAGCAGCGGGGCTAGCCCCACCCCTAGGTGAAGAGGGATGAGGGAACAGTTACTGAAAACTACAAGGAGCCCACCGCCTGCAGGGGAGCAGTGACCACTGGTCCTGGGACACCACCAGCCCAGGCAGACTTCTTGGGGAGGGGGCCAAGGGAGTAAACCCCCCATCTCTCTCTCCAACCTCTCTGTGACCTCCTGCTAGGGCTTCCCAATGGCTAAACCTAACTAGAAACGAGAGGACAGGGACCTGTGTGTCCCTACTGGTCAGTGTCACCAGGCGGAGAGCAGTGTAGAGGAAGGTGAAGGTGGAGGGAGGTTCTGGAGGGCAAATGGAAGACACTCATAGCAGGAAGTGCCAGCGCAGTGAAAAGGGGACAGAGAGTAGCCAAAACCTAAGGCACACTCCCAGGCTGTGTGACCTTAAGTAAGACCCCTAACCTGAGTTCTCCATTTATTTATTTATTTATTTATTTATTTATTTATTTAATTTATTAATTTTTCTTTTCTTTTTTTTCTTTTTTTTGAGACAGAGTCTCGCTGTGTTACCCAGGCTGGAGTACAGTGGCCTGATCTTGGCTCACTGCAACCTCTGCCTCCCTGGCTCAAGAAATTCTCCTGCCCCAGCTTCCTGAGTAGCTGGGATTAGGGATGCCCACCACCACGCCCGGCTAATTTTTGTATTTTTAGAAGAGGCGGGCTTTCACCATGTTGGTCAGGCTGGTCTCAAACTCCTGACCTCGTGATCCACCCACCTCGGCCTCCCAAAATGCTGGGATTAACAGGCGAGAGCCACTGCACCCGCCCTTTCTCCTTTTTTTTTTTTTTTGAGACAGAGTCTCGCTCTGTCGCCCAGGCTGGAGTGCAGTGGTGCGATCTCAGCTCACTGCAAGCTCCGCTTCCCGGGTTGCCGCCATTCTCCTGCCTCAGCCTCCGGTGTAGCTGGGACTGCAGGCGCCGCCACCACGCCCGACTAATTTTTTGATTTTTAGTAGAGACGGGGTTTCACCGTGTTAGCCAGGATGGTCTCGATCTCCTGACCTCGTGATCCGCCCGCCTCGGCCTCCCAAAATGCTGGGATTACAGGCGTGAGCCACTGCGCCCCGCCCCTTCTCCTTTTCTTTAACCAGCGCATTAAAGAACAACACCTGGTGAATTACGTAGAGAAAGTATTTTCACTCCTCTTAACAGAGAAAGGGACGGGAAACATAGAGGGATCACAGACCAGACCACAATCAACTGTTGCAAAAATGACCTCAGTCATCATAATGTGCTTTGTAGGCATTCATGAAGAAATGAGTCCTGGAGAGAAATCAGATGAGAAATGAACTTTATAATTGCCATCTTATTCACAGTTCACTATGGGCATCCACCCTCACTGCTTTGACTGCAGAAATTTCTTCGACCATTATTCCACATATCAATATGTCTGTTTACCTCTCTATCTGTATGTTTATCTACCCTTTGCCTCAGTTCACAAAGATATTAGTTAATAAAAGCTTGAACAATAAAATAGAAGAAAATCTACATAGATGACATAATTAAAATAAAGATAAAATGTAAGATCCTCAGGCACACATCACTAAATTCTACTATAATTAAACAGTTGATTTGCCTCTGAGCTACCTGATAGTCTAAGCAAAAAGGGAATCAAGCTTCCTTATGTGATACGAATTTCCCATTACAAGAAACAAACCAGTTCCTCAGAGAGAGCAAGGAAAACACATTTTTCAGGATTGAGTTAGTGCTCTGTTTTATAGCGAATGTTGGGTCCCGTGACTACAAAAATATGAGCATTTTGTAAAGCAGACTTCAGTGAAAGCAAGGCTCATAGAGGTTGAGGCTTTTGCGGGTGGGGCAGGTTGTACAGAAGACTTCTTCAAGAAGAGTTATTTTATGTACAGCATCCTCGCCTACATTTCCATCACTGATGATTCCCCATTACTATCCAGAGCTCTAAGGTACCATATCTAGAACGAGGCTGGAAGGGGGGAAATTAATATGAATGCCCTCCCATTTTCGGATCAGGCATCTTGCTGAAAAATGCTTGGATGATTTATGTGTTTATTACAAAATTCTGTATTTTTGATGCAAACACATTCTCAGATAATTTATTCACTCTCACAAAAATGTCATAAAAAAACATATCGGTTGATTCAGTAATGGCAGAATTTTATGGTGATATTTTTCATCAAGTTGAGCAGTTATAGATTTATGTTAATGTACATTTTATGTCATTTTTCTTGCAATCATATTCTGACATTATCTGTAAACTGTCAGATTTCAAGAACTTATCTTCCCTAAAGCTTGACTTTTTGTTTTTCATTCCTAAAAATAGGTAAAAGTTTATTTGGAGGCAAAGTATTTAGAATACAAGTTGTGTGTGACAAACCACTAGCATTAACCATAGATCTAGAAGAAATCATCTTAGTTTCAGATAAGGATAGCTATAATTTTCAAATACAGTGTGGCTTATTTTTCTAGAGAAACCAAAGTTGAGAATAAAGGAAGCTAAATTGCATTTTCTCTTTGCTGTAGATGTGAACCAAGCACAAACTCTAAGCCAATTTCCTTTGAGGTGACAAGCATACATATACAAGAATGAATTTATAAAGAAATACAATACGCCTCCAAGAAAAGAAAAAAAAGAGAGAGAATTATGCATAGGCTAGTGAACCTGTATATCCAGAAACACAAGCTGATTGAAAGAAGCAAAGTAGAATTCCACAAAATGCCATCAAAAGACCTTTATACTAGTTTGCTTTTAGACAAGTTTAGATGCTGAAGAAATTAGAATCAGAAATGAGTTTAATCTGGGTCAATTCCCTCATTTTACATAAGGAAGCTTAGCAAGGGAAGTGGCTTGCTCAAGGCCATCAGCAAGTAGTCACAAGACCAGAGCCAAGGTTTATTCCACTATGGTAATGTTGCCAGGGTTTTCTGTGTTTGCTAGTGTATAAAATGCATTCTGCAAACTCTCCCTCTCATGTGGTAACGAACATCCCATTCATCCAGACTATACAAAGCGCAGAGCCAGAGTGAGTTGATAGATGATACTGCTCCCTAGTGGCAGAACTTGGCAACACACAATATTGCAATAATGACGAAATTTGGTATTTTCTATCCTTTGCAGAAATAACACGCCTGAGGTTGCAGAATTCATCAGAAACAAATGTAATATTATTCCCCTACCATTTTACATGTAAATGTATTTCAGCCACAACACATGGCTCAAAAGCAACAGAGACATTGATATAATGCTCATTCAAAGTTAACATTATTAACTTCATGAAATCACTCATTAATTGAACTGCAGAACAGTATTTTGTCTCACCACCACACAAGAAAAATAATACAGCTCAGAGAAAAGGAAAGGAATCTAACTGCTTGATGTAACAAATTTATTTTCTGATAGAGAAATATAAAGTAGGCAGAAACAGGAGACTGAAGAACAAGGTATTTAATAAAGAAAGCTCCAAAAAATTTATATGTCCCAAATAATAATTCCCCAACAGAATTGCAATGTACAAGAACTGCCTTTTACATAGGCAAAATATGGCCTTCCCCATGAAACCATTTCAAAACGGCTTGAAGTACATGCATAATGAAAAGCATTTTTTGTTTTCCTTGTAATGTTGGGGTGTTCACTGGAATCAACCATCCCAGTTTGCTCTGGATGGAGGGGTTCTTCAGAAGTAGGACATTCCAAATTAAAACCAGAGATATCTGGGGTAAACTGGGACAAGCGGCCTCTATACCTGCATGTCTTATGTGCAAGCCAGCAGAATGGAAGCGTTATTTTGTATATTTAATCAAAAGTTTTAAAATAGCAGCGTCTCCACAATCCAGCGCCTCCTTGAAACGGAGGCATAGCACCCCTCACAGATAATTGAGTTGATCAAGAGCCTCACCACCTTCCCAGGAAGCACACCCTACCTTTAAGAAGCCCCAGTTCTTTACTTTCAGCTAAATATGAGGAACAACGTCTTCCTACAACATCCTCCCATTGGTCCTTGCTCTAGATGAAATGAATGAAGCTCTAAGTAGCTCAAAGTACAGTTATCTGAAATTAATTGGGTGAGATGTTGAGAATCATATGAAATAAAAGGGAAGGCCAAGCACGGTGGCTCACACCTGTAATCCCAGCATTTCGGGAGGCCGAGGCAGGCGGATC